AGCATTGGAGCTTGTGGCAACTGCTCCCTCTTCAGAGTGATCTTTAAAGTAATTTATTCATTTTTGGCTGTGCCAGGTCTTCCCTGCTGCTCGGGCATTTCTCTAGTTGTAGAGAGCAGGGGCTACTCTGTAGCTGCAGTGCGTGGGCTTCTCATCACAGTGACTTCTCCTGTTGTAGAGCACGGGCTCTAGAGTCCAGACTCAGTATCTGTGGCACAGGGGTTTAGTTGCTCTGAGGGGGGTGGGATCTTCCTGGATCAAGAATCGAACCCACATTTCCTTCATTGGCAGACAGGTCCTTTACCATTGAGCCACCAGGGAAGTCACAGGACGACTTCTGAGCCCGCAAAATATTCTGGTATTGAAACCACAAATTAAGACCATGAAGCCCAGATATGTATCCTACTGGTTGTATTTATCTGCTAGAGCAGCTATAACAAAGCACCACAGACTGGGTGGCTTCAACAAAAGAAATTTCGTTTTCCACAAATTTAGAGTCAGGAAATCTGAACTTGTTTCAGTTTCGGTTCCTTCTGAGCCCTTTCTCTTTGGCTGGTAGATAGTGGTCTTCTCCTTAGACTGATTCTGTGCACATCTGTATCGAGATTTCCAATAACTTTCAGATCATGCCACTGAACTTGGTAAGAAATTAAATTCTAGTGGGACTCCTAAAGGCTTTATAAAGCTGTTAACAAAAGATCAAAGATTAGTTACATGGGACCCAGTGAACTGATGAATACAGATATAATTTTATGGGTTTGTCTGAAGTATTACTAGCTTTTAATCTTTGTTTCCCAGATAAAAGCAAATATTTACCTTTAAGCTAATAGTGATTTAAAGCAACTTGATAAATCTTTTCTCCCCAGCTGATCCCTCCAAAATTTGGACACTCTTAGTGAATCTTATTCTCATGGCATTATGGTACTTCCTTGGTGGTTCAGATGCTGAAGAATCCACCTGCAATGCAGAAGACTCAAGTTTGATCCCTGGGTTAGGAAGATCCCCTGGGGATGGGAATGGCTACCCACTCTAGTATTCTTGCCTGGGAAATCCCATGGACAGAGGAGCCTGGCGGGCTACAGGCCATAAGGTCACAAAGAGACACGACTTAGCTACAGAGCACACGACTATACACTCTGCTTACAGGATTCACAGGTAAGTGTCGCCACCTCCTGGCAAGTTCAGGAATCACATGATATTGGTTACCTTGACAAGAGAGGAATTCCCCCTTCGTGGATCACAGCCGTGTGGTGAAGGGCCTGCGTAAATCAACGAAGCTAGGAGCCATGCAGTGCAGGGCCACCCAAGACAGAGGGGTCATAGTGAAGAGTTATGACAAAATCTGGTCAACTGGAGGAGGAAGATTAATCCCCCCAGGTCGGAAAGTGTCCAATATGCTACTGGGGAAGAGTGGAGGGTAATTCCTAATAACTCCAGAAAGAATCAAGTGGTTGGGTCAAAGGGGAAAGTGTGCTCAGCTGTGGATGTGACTGGTGGTGAAAGTAGAGTCCAGTGCTGTAAAGACAGCATCACCAACAACACACATGAGTTTGAGTAAACCTCGGGAGATAGTGAAGGACATGGGAGCCTGGCGTGCTGCAGCCCATGGGGTCACAAAGAGTTGGACACAACTTAGCATCTGAATAAGAAACAGAGGAATTCATCCAACTGTTTAGATAGATCTCTGACATCAGTCCCTTGGTATGGCTTCCCTTGCCTTGAAAGGCCTCTTAAAAGTTCAGTCTGAGGGACTTCCCAGGCGATCCAGCAATTAAAATGGCTCTGGGCTTCCATTGCAGGTGTGTGGGTTCAACGACAGATGGGAGAACTAAGATTCTGCATGCCCTTTGGCATGGCCAAAGAATTAAAAAAAAAAAAAAAAAAGCACAGCATGTTATATAAAAAGACAAAGAAAATGCAGTTACATTGGGGGTCAGGGACCTCCAGGCAGTTTCACAGACTGTTACCCACACAGTGTTGTGATACACTTCCAAATTAAGCCATAGATATCTGGGTGATGACTCCTGACTTTCGGAAGGCTCAAGTCAGAAGATATCAGCAGGGACTTTTATGCCTTTCTGATAACAGTCAAGCCAGACTGCCTAACCATTACCATCAGTAATCAAACTGACCTTAGTGTTATCACAGGATTTTAGGCCATGCTGTGTGGTGTGTGGGGCCTTAGTTCCCCAGCCAGGCATCAAACCTGTGACCTCCAAGTTGAAAGCATTCAGTCTTAACCACTGGACTGCCAGGGAAGTCACTATCACAGGATTTTTTAACATTAAACAACACATAATAAATCCTGTTATTCTTATCTTAGCAAAATGTCAAAGCCAGATATTTAGAAGTCCCTAGAGACAAAGCTAGAACTGTTTTGGTTCAGTTTTAAAACAAATTTTATCTTACATGAAAACAAATGCCCAATACAGCAAAATTTCTGGGATGCTGGAATATAGTCACTCCAGTCATTTTCGCCCGAGAATTCCATGGACAGAGGAGCTTGGTAGGTGACAGTCCATGAGGTCGAAACTGTTGGACATGCCTGAGTGATAGAACAAGTGACTACATTAGGTGCAAGTTCTTGAATAAATGACACTATCCACCTTAAGAAAACAGAAAGGACAAACTAAATCCTATGTTTGGCAGCTGTATGATTATTCCACCATATCCTCCTACCCTGGGAGTCAGGGCAGCAAACTGACAACCGATTAAACCTCTTTCAACAGGAGTTACCAAAAACACTGGGTAAGTCACAAAACCCATATCTCTGGAATTCTAGATTTTCATTCTCTCAGCCCCCATTTTCCTGGCTGCACAGCAATAGACTTGACCTGATTCATCGAGTCTAGGGACTTCCCTGGAGGTCCAGCAGTTAAGACACTGCACTTCCACTTCAAGGGTGTGGGTTCAATCCCTGGTGAGGGAACTAAGATCACACATGTTGCATGGTGTGATTTTGAAAAAGAAAAAAAAACTGATTCATCAAGTTTAAGCAAATCCACAGAATGTTTATAGATTGTCATGTAAATGAACTTGGCTATAGAAGAAACATAGCACTGGAGGTCCTGACAATTTCTCTACCCTCTCATCCTTATAGCTATAGTATGGGAATATCTGAGGAGGTACCTTTAGCAAGTACATCCCTCTAGGGTGCTGTAATCTCTCCAACTACTTATTATGCATACTCAGTGTTTCTGAACCAATATGGTTCCTGTAGGACACCCAGCTAGTGACACTTACCTCCCAAATTCTGAACTCAGACTCCTTGGCAGATACCGGAGACCAACTGCTTCTTACTAATGCTTGAGAACATTCTACAGGAACAAGGGACCATATGGCTCTCTTCACACTCACAAATAAAACTAGCATTGAGGCCACATGTATCTGATGGAACCCAGAAGTCAGTCCTATAATACCTTGATAGCAATGCAAACTGGGCCAAAAGTGGACAGCTATTCTTTGCCATCATACTGGGCTCTCTGAAGCACAGAAATCTGAGGGTTCTCATGAAATCTGTTTACCCTTTCACACTGGTAGAACACAACTGTGTCCTTAACAGACTCCACACAGTAAACAGAACCCTCAAGATTACAGGTAGCTCAGAGTAGGGACTTTATTACTGTTCTAAAATGAGCAGGTGTGGGGCTCATGGTTCCAAGGCTGGGGAACTTGGAGACTGTATTTTACACTCCTAACGAGACCAAGACATCCCAAAGGTAAATCTCTGCAGGCTTTCTGGAGAACACACGTGCTGATCCTTTCCATACTGAACGCAGTAAAAGGGGAAAATAAGGCCCCCTGTGGGCCCCTGAGGCTACTCCTGACTCCTCCCAGGGACTGGGGAGACAGCAGAAGTCGGCCTGCCTGAGCCTGTAACCAACGCACATTGTGGGACTTCTCCCATATGCAGGATGCCCTCTACCACCGGCAAAGGCACTTAGTATAGAATGTGCACCACAGCTCCTGAAAGCAACTCACACGTAGGGTGCTCGTCGAGAGCCTTCCTGTTGTGAGTGTTCATATGTATAAAGTGTCACTTCTGATTGATGGCTCTCTTACAAAGCCCATGCTCAGATCTTTACTCCAGGGAGTTGTCAGGGTGAACAAGGAGATAGCATATTCCCTGGACTCTAAAGCCATTTTCCAGTGTGGCCTTTCTGTGCTAATAAGGTTTGTTGTTGTTCAGTCACTCAGTCTTTGAGAACCCATGGACTGCAACATTCCAGGCTCCCCTGTCCTTCATTATCTCCTAGAGTTTGCTCAGATTCATGTCCCTTGAGTTTGTGATGCCATCCAACCATCTCATCCTCTGCCACCCTCTTTTCCTCTTGTCTTAATCTTTCCCAGAATCAGGATCTTTTCCAATGAGTCGGCTCTTCACATCAGGTGGCCAAAGTATTGGAGTTTCAGCTTCAGCATGTCTTCAGTAAATATTCAGGGTTGATTTCCTTTCAGAGTGACTGGTTTGACCTCCTTGCAGTCCGGACACTCAAGAGTCTTCTCCAGCACCACACTTTGAAGGCATCAATTCTTTGGCACTCAGGCATCATTATGGTCCAACTTTGGTCTTTGGGAAAAGGCTTCCCTGCTTCCCTGGTTGCTCAGTGGTAAAGAATCCACCTTCCAATGCAGTAGATATGGGTTCAGTCTCTGGGTTGGGAAGATCCCCTGGAGGAGGACATGGCAACCCACTCCAATATTCTTGTCTGGGAAACTCCATGGCCCATGCAAACTCCATGGGGTTGCAAAGAGTCAGACACAACTTAGAGACTAGAGAACAACAAGGCTTTCCTATGTCTGCTGCACTCACAGGCACTGCCAGGAATTCTCAAGTGCACAGTAAGCTGGGAGCATTGGGTAAGATATATTCCATGTTCCCTGCACTCTCACGGTTCTTCTCCAGTATGAGTCCTCTTGTGGAGAATAAGCGTGTATTTTCAGTTGAACTCTTTCCCGCAGTTACTGCAAACATAAGTCCTTGCTCCCATGTGAACCTTTCAGTGCTGAGTAAGATTTGGCCTTTGAGCAAACTCCTTTCCACACCTGCTACACTCATAAGGCTTTTCTCCAGAATGGGCCTTCTGGTGCTGAATGAGTTTACAGGTGCAACTGAAGACTTTCCCACATTTCCTGCACTTGTAGTCACTGTGTGAACTCACCAGTGTAAATTAAGGTGGGAGCTTTGACTGAAGGTCTTCCCACATTCGCTGCACTCATAGGGCTTTTCCCTAGTGTGAGTTCTCTGGTGCAGAACCAGTGTGTGTTTGCAGTTGAACTCTTTCCCACATTCACTGCACATGTATGGCTTTGCTCCTGTGTGAACCTCCTGGTGTTGAATGAGGTTCGATTTGCTATTAAAGAATTTTCCACAGTTACTGAACGGAAAGAACCTTTTTCCTGTGTGAACTTGCCTGTGTTCAAACAGGTCAGAGACCTGTCTGAAAAATTTCCTGCATTCATTGCACTTGTAAGGCCTTTCACCTGTGTGTATGGTCTGATGTTTGAAAAGGTCACAGCTCTGGCTGAAGCATTTCCCACATTTGCTGCACTCATGAGGTCTCTCTCCAGTGTGGATTCTCTGATGTCAAGCAAGCGTCTTTCCAGGTGAATTCTTTCCCACATTCACGGCATTTGTTAAGCTTCTGTCCAGTACTAAGGGCTCCCCCACAACCAGTTCTCATGTGGGGTCTTCATTCTGTCACGAGGGACCTAGTGCTAAAGGTCAGAGGCAGCTGGCATGTGCATTCTGCCTTCACCATGTACATAGATATTCTCCATCACACAGATTCTGCAGCTTTTCAGAGTCTCTGCTCTCATTCTTCCTGAAGAATTTCTCTCCACTGCGCTGTTTCTGGTGCTGGTGGAGGTCTGCACTGAACCAGAACTGTCTCCCATAGGCCTCACACTTGTGTGGCTTCTGCCTGGCTTTCCCCTCCTGGTTATTCATTAGGGTGAAAGATGTCTTTTGATATTGGGCCAGACATGTCATATGGCTGGGTCTTCAGACCTGCCACAGGGGTCCTAAATGGTGACATTCTTTCTANCTGGCTTTCCCCTCCTGGTTATTCATTAGGGTGAAAGATGTCTTTTGATATTGGGCCAGACATGTCATATGGCTGGGTCTTCAGACCTGCCACAGGGGTCCTAAATGGTGGCATTCCTTCTAAAGAAGTCGTCTGCTCAGAGGAAGCAGCCTCAGCCTCCACTCCATGGCAACAATCTGCAACAGAGGAGTGCCCAGTGAGACACATGTTGACTTTCAGGGAGGGGACGACCCCACCATAAACATGTCTGACACACCCAGGGTGAGTCCATGGGACTATTCACAGGAGAGTGAGGTGGGACAGGTTGAGGAAGGGGTTGCTGTGCAGTGTGGGGCCTCTGAACGTCATAGAGTGGGGGAGGCCTCCTGACGGCAAGGACATGAGTACAAGTTTCAACAAACAGCTTCCAGGAGGAGGTTGGTCATTGGGGCAGGTGAGTGCTAGGGAGAAAGGCATGTCCAGGTCCAGAAAACTCCAGTTACAAGTAAGTAACTGGTGTTCAAAGATGACTGGAGCATATGTGCACCTCTCATGAGACATGCAGTGCAGGCCAATGCTGTAGACAAATGCAGACTGAGCAGTAAGGAGTAGTGGGTGCAAGGTAGATGCTAGGGTCCAGAAGTCAGACTAGAAGTAAGTCACAGTGCTCAGAATATGGGGAAGAATAGGTAGATTTACTGTGTGGCCACGTGCATGCTCAGTCACTTCAGTCATGTCCAACTCTTTGTGACCCCATGGACTACAGCCCACCAGGCTCCTCTGTCCATGGAACTTCCCAGGCAAGAATACTGGAGTTGGGTTGCCATGCCCCTCTCTTGGCAATCTTCCCAACCCAGGGATTAAACCTGTGTCTCCTGCAGTGCAAGTGGATTTTTTTTTTTTTTAATGTGGAGATACCCATATAGGACTTGAAATCAAACACTGGCAGGAATAGTTGATATTTCTGTATTTGAACCCAACCTTGACATCCCACTCTTCTCGGTGTCCACTCACCATGTCCCATATGAGGCTCTTTCTCTGTGACTGGAGTCATCTCCACCTGGGCAGGTATCCAGGGTTCTTCCCTCTGCTCCAGCTGCATGATGAAGTGTGATCTGGTAGGTATGATTCCTGAGGGAAACCCAGGACAGGTGAGTACAAGCTCAGAGCAACCCATCTTGTGACAAACTACCAGTTAAAAAATAACAATTCCTCCAACTAATAAAAATAAATCAAAAAAAGAAAAAATAATAATAATTATCACTGGGACTTCCCTGATGGTCCAGTGGTTAAGACTCTGAGCTTCCAGTGCAGGGGCTCAGGTTTGATCCCTGGTGGGGGAACTAAGATCCCACATGCTGCACTGCATGCCCAAAATAATAATAATTATTATTATCATGAAAAGAACCATGAAGGAACCACCCAAGAGTCTCCACTAAGTAGTGACTATATGAGTGCTTGAAACTCTGTTAGGATTGAGCTTCAGAAAAATGTCACCTGGAGCAAGAGGCCAGAACCTTGGGCACATAGATGTCATAATTCTGGACAGATTCACCAACCCAGAAAGCAACTATAATTAATGGGGTCCACTGGGCCAACCATGCCTTGTGATCACTTAAACCTCAGCTTGTGTGGCTTTGGGGCTTCTCAGTAAGAAGTGAGGACACAGCTACAGAGCTCAGCCCTGGCATCTCCTCCAGGAGACAGAGCAAGAAATTAGTGTGGGAAGGACAGGGTGGACCCTGGGGAAAAGGAAAAAAGAGATGGGGCTGGTGTGAGGGCCTTACCCAGGGAGGCTAAAAGTGCCAAGGTCTCCAGCATCATATTTCCATACAGAAACCTCTGGGCCTCACCAAGGAGCCTCCATTCTTCCAGAGAGAAGCACACAAACACATCCTCAGACAGGACACAGCCCTGCAAAGATGGGGACACAAGGTCCATGAGAAGTATCTCCACTGAACATCCCCAAGCTGCCTACCGATAGCAGTGTCCTGCTCCCTCATGTCCCCAGGTTGCCAGGTCACAGAAAGTACCAGGCACTGGTACCACTGGACCTCACTTTCTCCTGACCACCCCCAGCGAGCACTGTATCAGCCCACAGCAACAACGAGTGGGCTGGGAGATAGATGCCATCTAAAGTCCATGCCTGGGCTTTCCTGGTGGCTCAGTGGTAAAGGAGCTACCTGCCAACGCAGGAGATGCAGATTCCATCCCTAATCCAGGAAGAGCCCAGATGCCATGGAGCAACTAAGCCCTGTGCCGCAACTACGGAAGCCCTTCTTCCCAGAGTCAACGCTCTGCAACAAGAGAAGACGCCGCAGTGAGAAGCCCTTGAGCCACAACTAGAGAAAGCCCAAGTGTCAGTGAAGACCCAACACAGCCAAACAAGCAAATAAGTAAAATTTTTAAAAGAAGAGTCCGTGCCTGGCCCAGTTCCCCTAGGGAACCCTGTAACATACTTCCTGGGCATAATTCCTAAATCTGGGCTCACTCTTTCACTTACGTCTCCAATGACAGGGACCATCAGTTAACACTCCCTTCTCTCATGCACTTTGCTCTTCAGACTGTGTCTCCCTCACATCTTGAGCTACCTACCACCAGGCTTCTGTCCCACATCACAGATGTCACACTGGACCCCTCACAGATCACCCTGCACACAACATGGAGAGAGCACTTGGCAATGCAACCAGGCTGCCATCTTGTCACAAACCTCCAATGGCCCCCAACGCCAAAGCCCCCATTCCTGGTCTAAAGGCCCTGCAAGCTGGTCCTTTTCCTTTCTTCAAATCCCAGGGACCCAGAACCTCATGCATGCCTCAGTTACTCTCAGCCCTCTTCCATTTCTCAGCTGTATATTGTATTAGTTTCCTATCACTGCTGGAACAAGTCACTATGAGCTGGTGGCTTAAATCAACACAAATTTTATCATCTTACATCTGGAGGATGTAAATCCAAAATGGGCAACGGTCCCAGGAATTAGGAAATGGAGGTCGTTGTGCTGTTTATCACACACATGTTGTCCCACACTGGTCACAATGTTTCTACACCTGAATATTAACTTGACAACAGACTTCCCATTTCACTGGCTGGCATTTCCATCCTTTCAGCAGCTAAACTGAAAACGTTGGGTCCTCTCTCCTCGACTTCCCTCTCTCATAATCCACTTAAGAAAATAACACCAGCTTTAGTAAAGTTACAGCTTGAATGCCATGGAGCAGCTAAGCCTGTGTGCCACAACTACTGAGCCTGTGCGGCAGAGCCCTATCTCTGCAACAGAGAAGCCACCACAGTGAGGAGTCCATGCACCACAACTAGAGTAGCCCCACAGTAATGAAGACTCAGCGCAGCCAAAACTAAATAAATAAAGTTAAAATCACAGCCTAGAACTACAGCCTCTTGTGCCACTTTCACAGCAATCACTCCAGTGCAGCCCACCGACATTCATTTAGATGCCTGCGATAGTCTCTGCCTCAATTTCCCTGTGCTGTGACCACATATAAAACTAAAATTCTCAATGAGCTTATGGTTGCCAGGGGGCAAGGGAGACTTAGGGAGTTTGGGATGGACACGTACATACTGATTCATTTAGAATGGATAACCGATAAGGACCTACTGTACAGCACAGGGAACTCGGCTCAATGTTATGCGGCAGCTTGGATGGGAGGGGAGCTCGGGGGAATGTATACATGTATATGTATGGCTAGGTCCCTTTGCTGTTAATCTGAAACTATCACAACATTGTTAATTGGCTACGAAAAAGTGAAAGTGAAACTGTTAGTCACTTAGCTGTGTCTGACTCCTTGTGACCCCATGGACTATAGCCTGCCAGGCTCCTCTGTCGCTGGGATTCTCCAGGCAAGAATACTGGAGTGGGTTGCCATTTCCTGCTCCACATGTCTTTTATATATTCTCACAAATGTTTTTGACCTTCACAGAGAAAATACTAAGAGCTACTTGTGTGGGCTGTGGGCTACATGCCAAGTACTTTGCATACCTGATCTCTACTTACAGGGATTCCTATTTAACAAGGGGTAGCAATGGAGCATTTGATTAGGTTAAAGTAAAACCATACATTTTTGAGACTAGATTGGCCTGAATCCAAAGTCCATGCTTTGTAGACTATCAAGTATCCTACATGTGCTCAGAGAAACCATGCCTTAGATAAAGTGCATCCCTGCCCTTCCTCTCACATCCGGGAGCAGGTTTGTGTTATGGTTTCTGGATTTGTATGTGAGAGATGAACCATACAAAATGGAAGCTCTGCACATAGTTAACAGGTTGTTGCAAACACACTGCTGGAGGCTCTTCTGGGGTAGCTGGGGTGAAACTTCCGCTCTCTCTCCCCTGTCTTTGGTCCAGGTTGTGGGTGACACTGCAGTGGAGCCTCCACACAACAGCCCCTGGGGTGACTGGACATTTCTCCTGACTGCCTTTGATGCTGGCTAAACAGCAGCCCAATGTGGCTCCAGAAATCATATCAACTTCTGTTTAGAAGCTGATAGAAGCTATTTAGAAGCTTCTATTTAGAATTATATTCTGTTCGAACTGATCAGAGTGGATTCTGGGGTCTGCAGAAGTCCCTCTGACTTATGTCATCCCATTTGACAAATGGGGAAACTGAGGCTCAGAGGGTGTGAGCTGCTTCCTTCCATTATACTCTTTTGCACAGGAAACATATTTTTTCATTAAAGTCTTCATGGATGAGGTTTATTTGTAAGAAACTTGTGGGAATTTAGTCTGTTCACATGGTTTTACCCTCAGTGATTGTTATGTGGCATCAGCTCAAGTAACATGAGATTTTTTTTTTTTTTTGACCTGACTTTAAAGGAGTAAGAATTCTTAAAAACACCATGAACTGGAGATAATATCTGGTGCACTAAAATGAGGGCTGTGTAGATTACCTGTTGTTTTGGCCAGTTCAGCGGACTTCTCCCTTTTGTGATGTGTCCTGCTTTTCCTTTCAAGAACTGTTATTCCTCCCTCCAAGTGATTCTGATAGGACTGTGGTCCCTGCACAGGACCACAGATGACTCAGATTAGCCAGAGAAGCAGAGTAATCCATGGGAGAGCATGGGACCCAGGGATGTCAACCAGAGTCAGATTTAGATGTTTCTTTTGACTTTTGCCAGATAAAGATCTCCATTTCACTCTAGGGTTCTGTAAACATGGAAGCTTGAAACTTCAAGGGACCATATGCTCCCAGGTGGAACNGGGGTCACAAAGAATCAGACATGACTGAGCACGTCTTGCCCCAGGACGGGGGTGCTAGTCTTGTCTCCAGCATTCTGCACTCCTGTAGATGAGATGGGACGCAGGAAGCTCTGGAAGCTCACAGGAAAAGGCCCCTCTTCTGGGCCATGACTGGCAGAGAAATGACAGGTTGTAGCATTGAGAATTCTGGGTATTTTAGGGCCCAGTTTGCCTCCAGTCACGAAGGGGAAGCCCCTGGTCAGAACATGGAAGTAAACGAATCATTTATTGAGGGCTTACTGTCTTCTTAGCCTGCCAGTTGCTCCCAAGCCTCAGGCTGCATATCACACCTCAAAATCTCTGTAACCAGATGAGGCTGGTACCAAACCCAAGTTCAACTGCTTGCCACTGGAAAAAGCAGACAAATGTTGGTGGGAAAGGAACAATTGCTTTATTTAGGAGACCAGCAGTCTGGGAAGATGGTGGACTAGTGTCCTGAGACCATCCAAGTTGCCGGTTATGAGACAAAGGATTTAAAGGCTGTGTGTGGAAGTGGGCTGCAGGGTGTGTGATCTGCTTGTGCTCAGTCCTCAGATTGGTTGGCCTCAAGGTGAAATTTCAACAGGTCTGATTCTATCTGCTTGTGGTCAGCAGTTTTCCCCCGGTGGGGGGCCTGCTTCCTGTAAAATCTCCAGCAGGCGCTCCACATCCTGAGTGAGATACGCTGATTCTGGCTGTTTTGGAGGTTCACAGCCTTCAAATACCAGCCTCTGAATTTGGAACCCAAAGCCAGCAGCTTCACTTCCATGATATGGAATGCAAACTGA